TTGGGTGAAAAATTGCAAAATTTTTATAATTTTTATACAAAGTTTAAAATCTGAATTTATATGGTGTTTGTTGTATAGCCAGCTAGGCTTTTATAAAAAATTAATAAACATTAAATAAACAAAAGACAAATAGCCAAAACTGGTCAAAATATCGCACTCCTATTATTTTGTGGACAACTGTACATATGTAGACAAACATGTTACTAGTATAAAATATTACATTAATTTTACGAGAAGAGTCATAGTTATAAAACTAAAGGCGGATTCACCGTTCGTGTCCGGACCAGTGTTGCAACACATGGGCTTTTCCTACCAAAACTGGTAGGTTTTTTGAAGTGAAAACTTCTTTAGCGGCGGGAGTGATTTGAAACTCGATGAAACAAAAAACGTGACAACAACAGCAAAAACAATAGGCATTTGTACATTATTTGCCTTTAAGTGTGTAGTTATGTATGAATGTATGCTCATAGAATCCCAGCGAAGTCTCGAATAGAGATGGGCACGGGACTAAATATTTAATCTCGATCCCGCCCATCCCGAAATTAGATTTTTAAGCCCCGAACCCGCCCATGTATGTTGCGTGGTTTGCAAATCGATCGAAGGTTCACAAAAATGTTCATATCATTCAAATTAATTTTATATACCCGGCGCAGGTATCAACTATTGTCGTTCCAACTTTCTTTAAACTACCTAAAAGTACATTGTTAAGATATTGTTGTAAGTAGTAACTTGGAGTAAATTAATGTCCTCAGTTATTGAAATATCGGAGTTTTCGTACATCCAAAAATTACCGTTATGCGGAAAACTGGTGCAATTTTAGTCCGATTTGAATAATTTTCAACGAATTGCTTTTTCGTACCGAGGTTATTAATACACCAAGTTTGGTAAAAATTGATAAATCGGTTACCGAGATACACATCTGTGGTCATAAGTGGGCGGCGCCACGCCCAAAATCCAAAAATTTATACTAATCCAATTGTGTGCTCAGTGTTCATAGCAATAATAGATTTTGGGTCAATTAGCTTCAGTAGTTACTGATTTATCGTAGTTTTGGTGTTTCTGTAAATTACCGTTATATGGGAGGTGGGCATGACTATTGCCCGATTTCAATAATTTTCAATAAATTTCTTAGCTGGATCCTAAGCAAGGCTCTTACCGAGTTTGGTAAGGATTGGTGAAGGGGCTACTAAGATACAGTATTTCATCATAAGTGGGCGGGGTCTCGCCCATTTTTCAAACATTTCATAACGATATTATTGTATATTTATACTTTAAATACTACACACAATAAATAATGACACACCCGGAGAGAATTTCGCACTAGACTGACTTCTGGTTTCCCAGAACCTTTATTTATATATTACATAAATTCTTACTCTAAATACATACACATAATACATATACTTAACTCTAATACAACAAACCCTTATCACTTAGTTGCAGTGCAATCCACTTGAACAATATCACAAATAATAGACTCAAAATGTATACATACTTATTTATTTAGGGTCATATTACTTACAATAGATGTTCAAGTGAAAAGCGATTTTACTTGTATGTGTACAATATATGTACATACATATTTAAACAAGTATTACATATGAAAAGCATATATAAATGCATAGTTGCATCAACCCTTATGCTGTTAGAAGGGAGAATGCAGTGCTTATCGCTATTCTTGGTATGTGCAGATGTGGCAGATGCAAACAACCGAATACCCTAACGACCAATGCACTGGTTTGTTGTTAATATTATCTTATCGACAACTACTTGTGGCAACGAATTTTGTTGTCCGTTTAGGTTTCCGATAAGAAACTAAACAATTATTTTTTTAAAAAATTCTACTTCACATACTAACTTAATCAATTTGGACCAAATATTTAATGAAATATCATAGTTTTTGCATTTTTCGAAAATACCGTTATATGAGAAGGGGCGTGGTTACAGTCCGAAGGGCGTTGAGATATCCCAATTTTGTCTCGAGTTATCGTGTACACGGACAGTCGGACGGACGGACGGACAGACAGACAGACAGACATGGCTTAATCGACTTCTCTATTCATTCTGAGCATTTATGTATACATTTGTCTATATCTATCTCGATTCCGTTTGGCTGTTACAAACAACCGTTAAGTGAACAAAGTTATTATATAATGAAATATAACAAGTAAGAAAGTCTAAGTTCGGGCGGAGCCGAACATTAAATACCTGGCGCAAGTATTAAACATATGTTTTCCACCTTTCCGAAAACTACCACTACATTGTAAGCCGGGGTGCCTTTACCCCTATTTTAAACATCTTCGATAGAACGCTCAGTTAGACATAATGAGATAAACGCCCATTTTCCAAAATTCCAAACAATGTTACTTCTTTTCAGGGGATTGTTTTTAGTATCATTTTTTAGTAAATTAGCGTCCTTAAATTTCGAAATATTGAAGTTTCAAGCATAGTCCGATTTCAATAACTTTCAACGTTTTGCTTTTATGTGGCAAGCGCAATAAGCATACCGAGTTTGGTACAAATTGGTACGACGGTTACCGAGATACATATATAACTGATCGTATGTGGGCGGTGCCACGCCCATTTTCCAAAATTGAACCATAGATGTATTTCTTAGTAAAGAATTGTTGCAAGCATCAATTTTGAATAAACTAGCTTTAATATTTACTGATTTATCGAGTATTTCATATTTTTTTAAATTACCGTTATATGGGATGTGGGCGTGATTATGGTCCGATTTTAAAAATTTTCGGCCGTTTGGTATGCTGTGTCAAGGCCCAACAACTGTGCCAAGTTTGAAAGAAATTTGTGGAGCGGCTACCAAGATATACACATGTAACCATAAGTGGGCGTGGCCACGCCCATTTTCCAAAAATTTATAATACTCTTATTTTTCGTCAAAAAATTATTGTAGATATTAATTTTGAGTGAATAATCTTCAGTAGTTACTAAAATAACGCTGATTTCGTATTTCTGAAAATTACCGTTATGTGGGAGGTAGGCGTGGTTATTGTCCGATTTTGCCCATTTTAACGTCCGTCCTACGCCCGAAATAAGTGCACATACCAAGTTTCGTTAAGATATCTCAATTTTTACTGGAGTTATCGTGTGCACAGACGGACAGACAGTCACCGCTTAATCGATTTCTCTTTTCATTCTGATCATATATGTATACATTTGTCTATATCTATGTCGATACGTTTTGGTTGTTACAAACAACCGTTATGTGAACGAATTTATAATACCCTTGTGCACAAGTGCGCTCGGGTATAAAAATAATAATGAAAGATCTGGCAACTTCCGACTCAGTAAAACATTATTTATTTATTATTATTATTATCAACAAACAGAACGCTGACAGACTATATGACAAATATATACATAGAATAAGGGAAACCCTTATGACAAGTGCCTTATGAGTAAATTCTTAAAAGTAAACTTTGAGTAAGAAAAATCGAAGTCTAAAGATGAAGAATAAGCATTAAATTGGGAGAGAGTCCTCCTTAAAGGAGCATTCATACCATAAACAGTTTTAACAACACCCACAATAAACAATTCATTACAACGAAAAATACGAGAGGGAACATTAAAACGAATTTTCATAAGGAGATGCG